GTGCCGAGTCTGTGAACGTGGTTGGGATCCGTGTCCCTGTCCCTGTCAGACATTGTGTCCGCGTCCGAGTCCGGATTTGGGGTCTGTAGCCGAGTCCGCGTCTCTGTCCCGGGTGGAGCCTCAGTCGGAGCCGCTGCCTGTGCCGGTATCCGAGTCCGCGTCTGCAGCGGCGGCGGGCGCGCGCTGCGATTACCCGCAGGTCGAGTTTTAAGTCCGTGCCCGAGGGCGTGTCCGTGGGCGTGTCCGTTGTTGGGGTCCGCGTCCGAGGCCGGATTTGGGGTCTGTATACGAGTCCACATCCGTGTCCGGGGTAGAGCCGCGGTCGGAGCGGCTGTCGGTATCCGAGCCCGAGACCGCGTCTGCAGAGGCGGGGGCGCGCGCGCATGCGCACCACAGCCACAGTTCGAGCTCGGATCCATGTCTGTGGTTCGGTCCGTGTCCGACCCTGGATCCGCGTCCGAGTCCAGATCTGGGTTCTGTGTCTGAGTCCGTGTCCGTGTCCCGGGTAGAGCTTCAGTCCGAGTCCGCGTCTGCAGCGGCGGGCGCGCGCGCTGCGATTAGCCGCAATCCGAGCTTTCAGGGTCCGTGCCCGAGACCGGGGTTGGGGTTTGCGTCTCAGCCCGGGGTTGGGGGTCCATATCCGAGTCCGGGGTTGGGGTCCGCGTCTGAGTCCGAGTCCGGGGTTGAGGTCCGCGTCAGAGTCCGGGGTTGGGGTCCGTGTTTGAGCCCGGGGTTGGGGTCCGCGTCTGAGTCCGGGGTTGAAGTCCGTGCCCGAGTCCGGGGTTGGGGTCCGCGTCCGAGTCCGCGTCTGTGTCCAGGCAGACCTGCGGTCGGAGCCGCAGTCTGTCTCCGAGTCCGCATCGGCAGCGGCAGGGCGCGCCCTGCGATTAGCCGCATTCTAGGCTCGAAGTCCCTGCTCGAGCCCGGAGTTGGAGTCCGCGTCTGAGTCTGGAGTTGGAGTCCGCGTCTGAGTCTGGAGTTGGGGTCCGCGTCTGAGTCTGGGGTTGGTGTCCGCGTCTGAGTCTGGAGTTGGGGTCCGCGTCTGAGTCTGGAGTTGGGGTCCGCGTCTGAGTCTGGAGTTGGGGTCCGCGTCTGAGTCTGGAGTTGGGGTCCGCGTCTGAGTCTGGAGTTGGGGTCCGCGTCTGAGTCTGGAGTTGGGGTCCGCGTCTGAGTCTGGAGTTGGGGTCGCCCGAGTCCGGGGTTGGGGTCCGCGTGCGAGTTTGGAGGTAAGGTCCGCGTCCGAGCCCGTGGTTGGGTCCGGGCTCGAGTCCGCGTCCGCATCCGCGTCCGCCAGTATCCGAGTTCACATGCTTGTCCCAGGGCGAGCCTCGGTCGGAGCCGCGGTCTGTATCCGCGTCCAAGTCCGTGTCTGCGCCGCATTAGCCGCCGACCACGCTTGGGGTGCGAGCTCGGATCCGTGTCTGACACTGTGTCCACCTCCGAGCCCGGGGCTGCGGTCTGAGTCCGAGTTCAGGTCCGCTTCCCAGGTAGCGCCTCGGTGGAGGCCGCTGTCCGCCT